AAATTAATAGCCAGACCTTGTATATATATATGCATGTGTGTGTGTATAGGAAGATTTAAAAGAATTTCTTAAAGCGTTTCAGATGTCAAAAGTTCTGGCCAGAGAGGGAAAATATAAAAGATTCTTAAAGAATCAATATTTCAATTTACTCAAAACTTTATAAAATGTATCACAATATAAATTTTAAACAAAAGTTGATCCTAAAATTAGATACGAGTGTAAGTCAAACGATTGAAAGAAAAAATAAGATAAAGGATTAATAAAGAAAGAAAAAAAGAAGCCTTATCAGTATTAGAAAAAGGGGAAAAAACCGAATAGGCGAACCTAATAAATCAAAGATCAAACACAGTTTTCTTCATATTTTATAAGTGTTTATTCAAATGTTCCATTTTAATCATACTTTTAGAATGCACGACTCAAACACAAGCTGGTAAGTATTTTTTTTTTTTTTTGAATTTCAATACATAACTTAAAATAATATGGAAACGTTTAAGTGATAACAGCTTTGGCATAATTTTCTTCTATTGCTGCAGTTTTGAAAATTTAATTTTTAAATCCTAGTTCTTTTGCAGTGCGAAGAAAATGTAATGCGCGTTCAATATTTATTTTTTGTACTTATACTTATTGTACTTATTGTTGTTTACATTTTTATTTTTTTATTGTTGTATACTTTGTTAATATTTATTGTTGTATATCTTTACCCAAAAGCTGCGGAAGTTTTCAAATTTAAAAAATGATCTGAGCTTTTAAGCAAAAATAAATACAATGTATGCTGAGTATTAATGTTTTGAATTTTGAGAACTTAAATCCATTAGCTGCCGAAGTTTTCACTTTAAAAACATGATCACGCTATTGAACGAAAAAAAAATACAATATGTACTGAATATTAATGTTTTGATTTTTGAGTACTTTTATCCATTACCTGCCGAAGTTTTCACTTTAAAAAACAGGATCTGTGTTTTTCTAAAGCGAAACAAAATACCATGCATGTTCAATATTGACGCTTTGAATTTAAAGTATTTTGATCCATTAGTTGTCAAATTTGCTCCTTTAAAAACATGATGCGTGTTTTTATTTAGCGAAGCAAAATACAATGCGTGCTCAGTATTAATGTTTTGTATTTCGAGTACTTTAGCCCATTAGCTGTAAAAAAATTTCCTTCAAAAACATGATTTGTGTTTTTATTGCGTGAAACAAAATATATTGCGAACTCAATGTTTTGTACTCCGAGTACTTTAACCCATTAGTTGTCGAAGTTTTCCGTTTAAAAACATGATCTGTGTTTTATTGAACGTAACAAAATATAATGCGCGCTCAATATTAATGTTTTGTACTTCGAGTACTTTAACCCATTAGTTTTCCGTTAAAAAACATGATCTGTGTTTTATTGAACGTAACAAAATACAATGCATGCTTAATATAAGTGTTTTGTACTTCGAGTATTTTAACCCATTAGCTACCGAGGTTTCACTTTAAAAACGAGATCTGTGTTTTTATTAAGCGAAACAAAATACAATGCTTGCTCAATATAAGTGTTTTGCACTGCGAGTACTTTTCCCATTACCTACCGACGTTTTCACTTGAAAAACATGATCTGTATTTTTATTAAGCAGAACAAAATACAATGCTTGCTCAATATAAGTGTTTTGCACTCCGAGTACTTTACCCATTACCTAAAGAAGTTTTCACTTGAAAAACATGATCTGTGTTTTTATTAAGCGAAACAAAATACAATGTTTGATTAAAATAAGTGTTTTGCACTCCGAGTACTTTACCCATTACCTACCGAAGTTTTGACTTTAAAAGCATGATTTTTATTGGAGCGACAAAATGCAATACGAGTTCAATAAAAATCCTTTACATTCTGAATCCTTTAAATTATTAGTTGCAGAATTTCATAATTTGGAACATGCACTAGTGCTTTAACAGAGCAATAAAAAAAAGAAATTCAATAACGTGTTTATTATTAACCTATTGTACTTTGAGTAATTTAACTCATTAAGTTTCTGAATTTTCCAATATTAAATACTAAATGTTGTAGTTATTCATAAGATATATATTTATATACATATATTTTTCCCTTATATGATCACATCTTGCTCTTTGATCAATTATTATAGGGTAGTATCATTTGTTTTCAAATTTTGCATTATAATAGAAAATGAAATTTCATGGAAATCCTATCACCCGTCCCCAAGGGGTTAAGCAATAAAAACTTACATTTCTAGAAATCTGATAACCTGATTCAAATCGGTCTTACTTCATAAGTTACCAAAGGCGTTTCACAGCGAAATTATGGAGAATTTTTTTTTTTTTTTAATGTTTTTCACTCATGTATCAAAGGACTATTTTAAATAATATCTTGCTCAATTTTTAAGGAATTTCTTTGAAATTTTTTTATTAGTCAAAAATATCTCCAAACATTCTGATTAATTTTATTGAATATTTTTAAAGTTATACTTAGAAAACGTAAGTAAAATAAAATAATTTTTTTATAAAAAAAAAATCTATACCTCCGGGAATATTTTAGTTGAGTTTACGAAATATAATGACTTTATTGCATCGAATAACCAAAGCGATCGATGTACTTTCAAGCTTATTGCTGCATGTTCTGGTTTACGGTGTTAGTAAATACTATTCTTCGTTCGTAATTTATTGCCGGTTTCTCAAACACCTGAAGCTTTAAAGAAATCGCATGAAGAAATCGCATGACCCAAACACCTCTAAAGTTACAAAATAATAGTGCAGGATACAAATGTGTAATACACAAACTAGGGAGTGCTGGGCGCTGGATGCTCTGCATGTAGTGAAGAGAATGGAGGAAATTTTGCGGTGTCAACGCTAGAACTCGAACTCTAGTTCTGTCGGTCATGAGATTGACAGATTAGCCCTGTCGGCTAATCTGTCAATCTTACACACAGAGTTAAGGAACTAAGTGCCGACCAGTCTGTGTAGGGGGCAGGGAACTGTCCTTTGCATCAGAAAGGTTCTGGGTTCGAATCCCGGGCAACGCATGGGTGTCTCTTTCTCTCTGTGTGTGTTCTATGTCCTTTCTCCTTTGTGTGTGAATGTGACCCGCCCTATAAACGGGTTGTCGTTGTGTGAATGGCGTGGCAGAAGTCGAATTCCTTTCCATAGATGGCGCCACTGAAAAACAGGAACAACCGTACCACCACTGGTTGGTACGGCTTAGTTGGTGCGATAAAATTCTGATTGCTTAACCGTATTAGGTAAAAACAGTTAGTAAACGGTTTTTCTCACAGTTAACAGATTGAAAACCATCTTATTTACGGTAATTTGACTATTTTGTTTGAATATGGTAAAATAACAATTAAACGAATTGTCATTTAACCATTTTTCCTAGAAATTTCTAACAGTGTAACGAGTTATTTTTCTATCTTTGTTTTGGTAGAGACATGGAATGATGAAGAACATGTAAACTCTAGAAGAGTGGTTATCAACTCGCAGCCCCCGGGCCGCATTCGCTCAGCGAAGCCTCTTTTTGTGGCCCACGAACTAAAATATATTTGTTGTAATTTTTTGAGGACCATTTTCGTAAAAAAATCTCTCTCTCTCTCTCTCTCTCTCTCTCTCTCTCTCTCTNTATATATATATATATATATATATATATATATATATATATATATATATATATATATATATATATATATATATATATATATATATATATATATATATATATATATATATATATATATATATATATATATATATATATATATATATATATATATATATATATATATATATATATATATATATATATATATATATATATATATATATATATATATATATATATATATATATATATATATATATATATATATATATATATATATATATATATATATATATATATATATATATATATATATATATATATATATATATATATATATATATATATATATATATATATATATATATATATATATATATATATATATATATATATATATATATATATATATATATATATATATATATATATATATATATATATATATATATATATATATATATATATATATATATATATATATATATATATATATATATATATATATATATATATATATATATATATATATATATATATATATATATATATATATATATATATATATATATATATATATATATATATATATATATATATATATATATATATATATATATATATATATATATATATATATATATATATATATATATATATATATATATATATATATATATATATATATATATATATATATATATATATATATATATATATATATATATATATATATATATATATATATATATATATATATATATATATATATATATATATATATATATATATATATATATATATATATATATATATATATATATATATATATATATATATATATATATATATATATATATATATATATATATATATATATATATATATATATATATATATATATATATATATATATATATATATATATATATATATATATATATATATATATATATATATATATATATATATATATATATATATATATATATATATATATATATATATATATATATATATATATATATATATATATATATATATATATATATATATATATATATATATATATATATATATATATATATATATATATATATATATATATATATATATATATATATATATATATATATATATATATATATATATATATATATATATATATATATATATATATATATATATATATATATATATATATATATATATATATATATATATATATATATATATATATATATATATATATATATATATATATATATATAAATACCTTGAAAATTGTGTGTTTTAATGAGAAGTATGGTATTTATTTTAACTAAATATTCTTCATCAAATAATAATGTTAATTAGTGTAACAATCAATTGAAAATAATTCAAATAATTCAGCTTGTTTTATAGGTTCATAATTAAAAACTGAATTCTTTCTGTTCTTTTGTTTAGCTGCAAGCTTCGACAACGATGATCATTATAATACTGGAAGAAAACTTATGAAAAAAAGATGAATAGTCCAGAGTTTATAATTTACATGATGGTAGTAGCCATATTCTCCATGATGTGGGTATGCTGCCGTCTTTATTGTCGACACGCCTGCAAAGATGAACGTGAGGGTTCAAACGACGATAACATTGACTGTGAGGGATGTTGCTGTTACGATGATCACTCTCTGGAAAATCCTAGTCATGCAAGAGCCCCAGCAACTACCACTTGGCAACCACCAGTTCAACAGCAACCTCGACAGTTAACCGATTTTGGAACTCTTTCAACGGAACCAAACACGCTTTCGTTTTACAACAGAGCCAATTTTGAGGAAACGCTGGCCACTGCAACCATATTTGCCCAAGGCAGTTCTAATTTTCAAGCACCTCTTGAAATCGCTAATGCTCCTCCGCGGTATGACTTTATGAATGCTCCTAGTGTCCCACATCCATACAACGCACCCAGTGAATCTCATATATATAATATACCAAGTATTCCAGCTGCAGTCCATTCAGTGAATGCTGACGATCCACCACCTGATTATGCAAGTGTAGTTCTCGGAGATTTGCTTCAAGGAAATGAACACACACAATTTCCGAGGGTCACGCAAGACAAATAACATGTATAGCATAAAAAATAAAGATTGTACTAATTTATGAAAATATATTATCTATCAACTGTCAGTTTTAACGCTTTTTGGGGAAGATGTTTTCCAAGGTTGGCAGAATTCCATAGCTTCTATAAGTCTCGTGTTCTTTATAAACTAGAGCGAGGGAATAATATTTTCTCTTGATTCTGATCTTAACAAATTGACCTATGGTATTTAGATATATTTAAATCACTAAAAAAAAATTGAGGACCAATGTTATTTCTACAACTGTTATAATTTTTGCCATCTGATGTTTTCGATTAAAAACTGTCTTTGAAATCAACATATTGGAAATGTTTATTGAGCAGAGGTAGATAAAGCAAAAATATACTGGAAAATAGCTGAAAAATAATTTAATATTATTTATTATCTTTATAAATGATATTTATACCAGACACTCATTAAATTGTTATAGATTCGTTATAAACATCTAGTAGATAATTATTGGGGAAAGTGAGTAGAAAAAGAGAGTTTATATGTTACTGTGAATGACCGAAATTGGTGGTTGTTGACTTACACCTGTGAATATTGACAATCACACAGTTGCTTTGGTAAATGCCGTTTGGAATATAACCTCGGTCAGAGAAATGTTAGATTTTCGAAAAAGTGAAGAACTTTTCTTTGTTTTGTTTTCTCAAATAGAAAACAATGTTTCAAATTTTTGACAGGCAATGCTTTAAAAAAAATCTTAAGACATTTTGTTACCAGAAGGTCTCTTGCTTCCTTTCCTTTTTATTATTCTTAACTCGATGGAAATGAAAAAAAAATCAATGAGTTGAAGTCATGAAAGGTTTCAGTGATGATCATGTCATATGTAGAAAGATCAGCAACTTCCAGTTTGTATCGCATACTTGTTTCGACATTCTGTGACAGTTAGTGAGAAATAGGCAAAGTATCCTCAATTTTCCTAAGAAAATTTTCTAACATTGCCCAACTAAAACATTATATGAAAATTCAGGTATAAAAATTCCACAATTATTTGGTGACCACAATTAGTTGTGACTTATGAGATAAAGCTCTCATCTCCCAAAGAGGTGACCTATGGTTCGAGTCCCTGCTGTGGCTTATCGATACGAATTCAGCTCAAGATTACGCTAATCACAGTGTTAATGTAGAATATTCTCAATGGATAAATCATGTCTTAGAATCCCTTTTGCTGTCAGACTAACCGTGCTAGGTTTCAAGTTGTCCTCCCTATGTGACGCAGATGTGGAGATCAAACGAAGAAAGAAACTGACCATATTGTAGGACTAATCGCGAAGGACGAGCTATCGTTTTCTAGGCAACTAGACGGCATGGTGCTGGTTGGTTTCCTTTAAAAATCCACGATGGCTATTTACTTATATTGCATGAACTAGATACAGTTTTTTGCCACCCAAACAGTTTTTTTTTTCAGAAATGGACAAATTCATGCCCGTTCGTCAAATTAACTTCAGTTGACTGTAATACAAATAATGAATAATATACCCATGCATTAAATTGTGACTGGCGCACTTTAAATATGTCGAGGTCACAAAGTCCTCTAAGTTCCCATTAAAAAATCGATATATTTGGAAATACTAAAGTGGAGATTCGTCGATAGTCGTTGCAGCTGCACTCGAGCAAGATTGAAGTCTGGTTATCTATATATGTTTAAATTGCTATTAACTCCAAATTGTACTTTATGCAATAGTATCTGTGAAGAATATTGTACGAGTACACATCTTGGAGCATGCCGGTCTCTGGTACCCTTTTTGAGTGAAATTTGAAGGGCTAGAGAAAAATTACAAACCTTGCATTCATTGACTTTTGTTAAATTTATATTTATTTAATTATAGTTGAATAGTGAATTCTATTGTTATTTGTTTTGCCGCATGTTCTGGTGGGCAATTTTTCACTCCAGCAAATGATGTTCATTAAGTGCTACTGGCAGAAATAAAATAAAAATTAAAAAAAAATTAAAAAACTAATCGTCAAAGCTCGTAATTTCACGTATAATACAGAATGCCCATTATACTTACGTACTTTAAAGTTTCATATAGGTATAAAGTATCACATATATTAACGTACTCGTATTATCACAGATAATACAGAACGTACAATCACTTACATTAAAGTAAAATTTCTTTTTGGAACGATTGCAATTTATGTATTTCTTTAAAAAAAGAAACTAATAAAAGCATTTTCAAGATTATATTTTTGAAATGGAGTAAGCAGAAAGGAGTTTTACGTCAGGCAGAAAACGTATTATAAACAAAGGTTGGCTTTTTGTATTGCGTGATTTGCCCCAATTGATTGCATCGCAAGAATCAATTTTTGCATTGTTGTATTAAACCAAATTCTATGAATTTAGGTATTTTATATTTTATTTATTTTAATTAATGAAATGGTAGTTAAATCTCCAAAAAATTCATTACCCATTGGCAAAATGGGTCTTGTTTTGGGTTTGATGCCGTGCGCATCTTATTTGGACGTCATCACACTTTTCAACTATGTTCAAGAGATTTAGTAAACAGTGTGCATGTATCGTCATGGTATGCGTTGATAAGGCGACAGCTACTGCTTGATAATTTATTTTTTATATTAATTGTATTTATTGGTTTATATTGTTGATTGCTTAATAAGACTACGGAAAACTTCCTTCGGCTTAAAATATTTTGAATTTTAGGCTAAATTTTAATGTCAGATTTCTTTTTGAATGTAAGTACCAATCATTTAGTCAAAGAATGCTCACCGGTATCCAAATTTGGAATAAAACTTACCAAAAATTTATTATATATTTGGATTTTAAGAATTAATATATATTTTGGATTTTAACCTAAAATGTGTATATTTTTTTAAATGTGAGTACCTGCCAATCATTTAGTAACAGGGTGTTAACCCTTTTGAAGGCCGTGGTAAGTATACTTACCACCACGCTTTACCGGTAGCGTAATTTGGTATAAAGCTTACGAAACTTTTCGTTAGCATTTAATATTAAATGAAAATATAGTTAAATGTTAATGAAAATAATTAATATAATAAAAATAATTAAATATTAAAGCACTAATTTATTTTCATCAAATAGAGCTATAAGCTAGGTAATATCTCTCACGTTATCTTTATACTTGAAAAATCGAATGGTCCAAGCTAATTTTAAAGCCCCGGCTGGTGCTTTATCAATCAGAAAATTTCATTTCGTTTTCCTCTCATCCCACTCAAACGGATCGTCATAGAATATTCTAATATCGGCAGTGACTTTCCTCGTGTTTCGAACTATCTATATGCCAAATTTCATTGCTGTTGAGCTGACGGTTTAGGAATCTGTATAGGACACACAGACAGACAAACATTCATTTATATATATACATGAATATATTTATATTTGGATCTTGAGTCATTGCACAGTGCATTTTAAAGCTGAAGCAATAGATAACGCCAGGAAATTTTAACTGAACGTATAGGTTTATATACATACTTAAACACTGGTCTATTTCTTTGAATATGTCACTCAAGACTGAAAAATACATTACTTTAAAGTATCACAAAATTAACTGAAATGTATTATTGCCTTCTTCCTACCACTCCGTACGTAGCAGAGGAGTGGGCACACTGAGTAATAGCCTGAGTGAAATAAAAAAAAATCTGGTTGGAATGTATTATTAAATTGCATGAAAACTGCAGCGTGTAGAGAGAAGCCGATCGCAGATCTGAAATCAGCAATGTGAAAGTAACTAAAATCTGTTTTAAAAGAAATCTTATACAACAAAAAGAAAAGTTACCCAGTAACAGTCGATTAGTTATGCTATTTTGAGATTGATTTATGTACTCAAATATCAAAGAAAGACTCCATTATCGTAAATTGAACTTGATTAAAATCAATGCATTCATTATTATCCATTGAACAAATCAAATTGATTGATAAAGGTGAAAGAAAATTTCTTTTATTTTCATTTTCATTTTTGCAATGAGTTGTAGTAGGAAAATAATTAAAGCTGTTGTTTTATTGGATTTATTATACAACTTCAAATACCGATATGGAGAAGATATTTGGAAGTAAGTGTACAATTTTAATATTAGTATTATATTTATTATGTTTGAAATCAATAGATTATATTAGCTGTAGTCCCTTAAAATTACCATACCTTGTTTTATATCTCCATTTAGAATTTATGGTAGCTAAAGCGAATGAAATGATTAATTTTCCGAGTTATAAAAAGAATTTGTTTCTTTGATTTTTGCAGGCAAAAGCGAAAACGCTTAAACAAACTTCAAACAATGCAAATTGAAGCAGGGCGTTTTCCTTTGCTCATTAAAAATCAGATAAAACAAATCCCATCAGCAATATATACTAAGCCCGGGTTTCTTATGCTTAATTAGTTACAATATACAGTAGAGTCCCGATTATTTGATCCGAGATTATCCGAGTGTCCGCTTTAACCGAGCTATCAAATATTTCAAGGATTTCTTTTTTTTTTGTTCCAGTTTATTTTCTATTTTTAAAACTACCGCAAAAAAAATCTTTATTTTATATTCCAAAAACTCAGTAAAACGAAATCCAACAACTTGATCCGATGAAATGATAGTCGTGATCCACATCCGATTTAGTCGTAGTCTACACTAACTCGAATAATCGAGAAATAATCTAGTGCATATGAACTCGAGATAACTCAGAACATTTAGGTCAAAAGTTTAGGAAGAATAAAGATAATGTTAAAAATTATAGTGATATCATACTTAATAAGGAATATTATCTATAGGTAACATCTAATATATATATACCATAGTTCCCAAATTTTGGCTGTATTTCTTTTCCGTCGGTGGCAACGTTTACTTTGTTTTGTTTACGTTACTATTTCTCTTATACGGTGAATCGACCAATGAATGTCGCTAAAAATGTCACATGCCAAATCTAGCTGAGGTGGCTCAATATATAGCGCTTTTAAGAACGGAAAGTGAAATAACCAGAGAGCATCAGCTGCGGCAATCTCATACTATTAAGCTAGGCAGAAGTGAGTAGTCTTTGTCGATAGATCTCTATTTTAGTATTTTGTCGAAAGCGCTTTTTTCACGAATTTATTGACGTTTTTTGATTTATATCATCAATTATACTATAGCACATTTCTAATAGGTTTACCGAATTACATGTCACTTATTTGAATTCAAATTTATTTTAATGACTTAGTATTTACTAAAAAGATGTAAAATAAAAAGATGTAAAGTATTTACTAAAAATGATTTTAAAAAAAAAGTTTTTATATGGATTTGAATGAATGTTTTGAATTCCTAGAATTTTGTGCATTTGCAATGTACCTAAGTTAGAAGCGAGCGAAGCGATCTTGGTTTGCGAAGCAAACCATATAAGATTGCGTAGCAATTTTCGGGAGTTGGCGAGCGTTAGCGAGCAGGTGGGGGGCAGCCCACTAGTCATATTTAATTCAATTAGAAAAAGGGTGACAGTTTGTGTTATGTAGGTAAAAGAAAAAACACCGCGAATGAAGCATGAATGAAACTACATAAATAGGCATAATATAGTTTTAGTTTTATAAACAAGGTTAAGAGCCGTGGTGGCTCAGAGGATAGAGCGTTCGCCGTCCAATGAGGTGATCTGGGTTCAAATCCCGGAGATGTCTGGTTGATACGAGTCCGCATCCGGCTTGCACCAGCTACAGTGCTGACTTGAAGTATCCTCAGTGGTTGACGGATCAATGGTTAGAAAGTCTCTTTGCAGTCAGGCTAACCGTTTGAGGTTCTCGTACATTTCATCTCCATGCAAAGCAAATGCTGGTTAGTTCCATCAAAAAGACCTCCACGAAGGCAAATTTCTCCCAATATTTGATCCAGGAGTTCCCTTGTCTTCTGGATTGGGTTTAAAGTTACAAGGCTTCGGAGTTCAACATTAGTAGTCGTATACCCAAAAATCGGGTCAGCTGTTCAACGACGTTTTTAAAATGAAAAAAAAAATTGCTGGATGAGAAGTAAAGAGACTAACACTTGTAAATTGGTTTAATCAAAGGTTCTTGCAAGAGGAAGGTAAGGTTCTTGTTTATAGATCTGAAACTATAGTATGTCACTTTATGTACTTTCATTTGTGCATTATTCACGTTGTTTTTTGTTTTAATCATAGTAATATTTATTTATCTGTGATATTTCCTGGGGAATATCGATGAAAAAATTGAAGTATTTTGATTTATTATCAAGATTCTTTTACTGCAGGCGCAATTTTTTCTTCATAGAATGCAGTCAATTTCTTATTTTTTAACATTTGAAAGTGAGCAGTGATCTCTGCTAATTCTTATCTCTTATTAACCTTAAAACGGTCTTTAGTAGAAATTTATGACAGAATTCTTAAACAATATTTTATATATTTTTTATATCTTAAATGTCCAGCACAAGTGGAATCAACATAGATAATTTGTTGCGGCAACGTCACCAAAATAG